CAGTGGCATATCTATAACTAGTTATTACCCATCAGCTTGGCATAATGTATTCACTTAATTTCTAAAAGGAAGAATAAAAATTCACAAGCCTGGTAGGAATAAGAATCTTTGTTTACACAGTGTTAACTACAGTTAACATCTCACTCATTTCTTTTATGTCAGTGGGAAGCAGCATATTTCCTGTAAGTGAATTTTCTAGACAACTAAACCTACCATTCTAAGCACTAGGCTAATTAAAAAAAAAAAAACACTAGTGGGAGGCAGTTTTTCTATAATGTGTTACACACTTGCCTACTTTATTAATCTAGCCTCACTGAGGGTAATTTTCCCCCATAGAGATCTCATATGACAATAATTATCATCTTTCTCATGGAGATGAATAAAGGTATTTATTCCCTTATTTATGCTGCTTTTAATTCTTGGTGACAGGGTTTCAGAAAAACACTGAAGGAAATGACCAGGAAAGATGTCAAACAATGTCATTTGAAGAACAACAGAAACAACTGGGGACAAAGCAATACATTCCCACTACTTAAAGGGGTGAGGGTAGAAAGGAATTACATTTGTCAATTCTACTCCAGAAAGCAAAGTCACAAATGCATGGAAGTTCCAAGGACTGTAACTTTCTAATAGTTAATTGTGTCTCCATCATTAGAAGTAATTGGGGAAGGATGAAGTTTCAGTCACTGTTTAGATCTCTGTCTTGGAGTAAAGTTGCAATGTCTGGCAATTACTGTATAGTGGGAATTTAGCATTAGAGCTGATCCAGTTTTTCTTCTGGTAATGACCCCTTGATTTCTTTCGGGAAAACTCTGTCCCATTTTCAGTCTATGTGGCTTCAGGTAGGGCTTCTATGTATCCTTTTGCGAACAAGCATGCATAGTAAGAATTCATGTGTGCCTAGTAAGTACATCAAATGACAAAGTACTCCTTGGATATGAGTGAACCACAGAGGAACAGTGACCACGGTTAGCTCATTTTATACCATGAGAGTCTGTGTACTCAGCAACTGTTGTGACCTACTGGAATGAAGCCGAGTGTGTGGCTGCAGTAGGCTTCCCACTACTAGGAAAAGAAGGCCTGCTGGAATTAGAGCTAAATAGACTGGTGAGGCCTGGGAAAGAAAGTTCTGATGGCACGTGAAAGCACCTGAACCCTGACATACCTATCCAATTGATCTCCTCTCACTTTAAACCAGGTTTAAGTTGAGCTTTTCCCACTTGCAAGTAGTTCCGAAACAGTTCATCCTGGCCGATACCGTGGTTATAATACCCCTTACAATTCTCGGATTCTAGGTTTATAATAATGATTCTGCTATTTCTATATTTTGGTATTTTTGTTGTAGCCTAATACCAATCTTATTTGCCTCAAGGGTTTTTGTCCATCAAAAAAAGTAAACAATATCATTAACTTATTCACTTAGTAGGCTTACTTGCTTAAGTCATCCCAATAGTCTGAACTTTTACGGTGACTAGACTTCTCTCTTGAGGAATAAAATATTTGGGCTTTGGGACAGGCCTTTTCTGTTTCAAATGTCTGGTATCGCTTACATTCTGATTGTTGGTCAAAAGTACAAGAAGACAAAAAAATTTTATGTATATGCATATGCTGCCTACCCAAAAACAAAGCTATAAAAATTGTTTGAATTTTTCCTCCTCCATTTAGATACTTGACTTAATATAGAAAAGGTCAGTAGGAGTGTGTGTCAAATTTTTAAACAAATAGAAAGCCAAAATAAGAATATACAAATAGATTTTCAAATAACGTGCTAACATTAAACCAGTATTTGTATCAATATCCACTGAGCCAACTATAACATCAACATATGATTAAACAAGACAAAGATTTAAATTCTTACATGTTACATCCTATTCTGACTATAAATTCATTTGTAGGCAGTCAGTTACTTAAAATTAGAATTAAATATCACTTAATTAGTAGAGATTGGCTAAGTTTCTAAAACACAGAACTTAGGAAGATCATCACTAAAAAGAGATACTTGAGCTGGGCACAGGGGTACAGGTGTAATCTCTACTATTTGTGGGTATGAAGTTAAAATTCACCCTATGCAACTGAATGAATTAGCAAAACCCTACTTTGGAAAGGCTGTGGGAGTGGGGCTCTGTGCAAAGAGCCTAATTCAAGTACTGGAAAAATACGTGTGGTCATAAAGCTTTATTTTGCTGTGTTACAACAGCATTTTCTCCTTAAAAATTTAGTAATTTTTCATCTAAAGACTAAAGACGTGCTTTTTGATTTTAAGATTTTGCAATATCAAAAATGAATTAAGGGATAACATGGCAGCATATTAGACACTAGTTTTGTACTCTATCCAAACTAAATATCCTTTGTCTTGATCTATGTGTCACTTTGTTCATAAAATACGGATTCTAAAAATTTTCACTCATAACTTCCACCTATAATTGGCTTGCTTAACTTTTCCACTTAAGTTTTTTCTTTGTCAAAAAAGGAAGAAAACAGGACTTTGTCTTTGACAATGGGTAAACAATAACAAAATATTTATTAGTTTACAACTTTTATAGAACTTATACAGTGTTGAACACTGTTTTTCTCAGAAGTTAATAAGCAGTGGCTTTTGGAATAAACTTGGTTTATGGATATGTGGTTTATATTGTCCTTGCACATTTTTTAAAAATGAGCTTCAGACATTTAAACACTGTTTGTTTGTTCTTGAAAAAGATGATAAAGAGGCACCAGAGTTACATTTCTGCAAGGCTGAAAGGCAGGTATCACTCTTGGCTGAAGAACACAGTGAATTCTCCACCATCCCATTTTATATCACACCTGAACACATTTTGAATGTATTTTTATCACCAAATTCATTCTATATGGTTAATATATTCTGAGCGAGGCAGAAGGAGGTGCAGAGCTGTGAGGGCCCAGACCCCAAGTGGAGAATGAAGTGCTAATAGGATAGTTTGGGACTCAGCTGGGGATGCTGGGGGTGGAGGTGATAAATAGTAGGACTTGGTAATGATGAGGAGTATCTTCAGTTTAAATATACTATCAGTGTCAAATAAATATTGAAGCATAATTGAATTCTATTAAATCAAGGGCACAAAGGGGAAAAAATGAATAGAGATGTTCGTAGTAAGTCACATAGTGGAAACAATCAGTTAAATCCACTTATCCTCTAAAATGCTCAGTGCTATGCATCTTGGTCCTTATTTACATTTTCAATTTCTCAAACTGTGTGATGGATATTGAGAAATGGGAAGAAAATGTTCAAATGGGAAGGGGAATAAGGAAGGGGGTTAAGAGAGGGATTGAAGGACAAGAAAAAAAAAGAGTAGAAAGAAAAAAATCATTTACACTGTTCAAAATGTGAGGCTGTCCTTTCTCTGGGCACATAGGAAGCCAATATTTTTCTTTGGGTTGCCAGGCCACGTGACTTGTTTCGTTCATGCATCTTTAACAGCCCACACATGTTTGGCCTCTTTCCTTTGCAGGAACAGTGTTCCAGAGTGTCCTGCTCCACCAGGTCATCATTTAGGTGAACACAGCCACTGCAGAGCCGGGTTGGGCAGGCAGTGTGAATGAGAAATTGCCTTTTGCTGTTGTAGGCCACGATGTTTTGTTTATTAATGCAACACAGTTTGGTTTCTACTACTTGAGCTATAATAATTACTATATATTCATTTACTTTTACTTTCCGATGTGTCTTTCAATTGCCTATATTATTGTATATTTGAATCATTATAAAGCAAAAACATTAAAAATATGGCCTCATTAAGAACAATGCCAGTGGGATATACTGATCATATTTAAATTATGATCAAAGCAGACAGGTAACTGTTAAAAGTAATATCGCATACCACACTTTGGGAAACACTGAAGTAAAACAGGAAAGGAGCCTTATGTTTAAGGCTGCAAAATAATAAAATATACTCCCAGTTTCCAAGCTAATCCCCAACTTTGACTGTCATATCAATCTTCAGTGGGCTATGCTGCTTCCTTGATATACCCAGAATCAGAAAGGGATTTATATTATGAGCTTAATGTGTGTGAATACACCATCTATAAACTATATCAGCTTTGTTTACCAAAAATCATTAAAAAGGACAACATCATCAGCATAATGATCTAATTTGCATATGTAATTGAAGTGTACAGGTGTAAATGGTAGATACACACACTGTTATAGGTTCCCTTAGTGCATCCTTGAGTACTTGACCTTTAGCATCAATTAAAATCATTATGTATACAGGTGGTAAATCTTGTCTTATGGTGACAAACATAGACTCATGCATAATTACCATTTTCCAACAGATTGACTAGATTACAAACAAGAGTAGGAGACATTTTATAGTGGTGACAGCCAAAAAAAGGTCTTAGAGATGTGTGCCATTTTGTACAATTTGATGTCAAACTCCAAGAAACCCACATATATTTACACTTTCTAAACAGCAGGCTCTCTAATAGTAATTTTATGTATAGCAAATACAGGTGAAGAGTTTAGATATTAGCAAAAAGTAGTTTTTAAAAGATGTCATTAAAACAATGAAAATTCACGCAGGATAACCTGCCAATGAAGAATGAGTTCTCAGATCAGAGACATTTATAACATCAAAAATGGGGGAACAGTAGGAGAAAAATGGGTATTGCCAGATATTAGAAGAGTTGTCATAACAAAGAATTGGACTTGTGTATGCTGAACGAAGTAGGATAGAGAAGAATAAGCAAATCTATGATGCAATGTGGCTAAAATTAAGGAAGATATTTCTAGCTGCTCTTCCCCAAGTTCCTCTAAGAATCTACACAGATATCATGTGCTTGGTCTCAGCAGCGGGGCTTTGCAGAATCCCAATATTGAGAAGAAACATGAAGACCAATAGCTTATAGTTCCCCTAACAGAACTTCAAGTCTATGACTAACATTTGGTCCAGGAGCAGTAGGTAGTAAAATCCTTCCCCATTTTACTAATAGAACAACAAATTATTGCAGGTTAGCTAAATATTAAGAATATTTCAAGATAATACCTTTCATTTTCTTTTAATATGTCTCTTCCTTTCTTCCAGGTGTAGACAGGTTTTGGAGAAGCTTTTGGTTTACACTCAATAACTACTTCACCTCCCACTTTGACGAGAGTTACCCTTTTCAAAAGAGTTCTTGAGAAATCTGGACCTGCAGCTGGAAGACAATATAGAAAATAAAACAATGAGGTGTTTTTTTTTTCTTCTTATAATGCACTTCTTGTCACCTCGATCATCAGACAGAAAGCTAAATTTGTTCTGCAGCAAAGAATGTCTCACTCAAAGTTTTGATTTGTAAATATCTATAATTTTCATACATTAAAGTACACCAATTACACAAATATAGCTTCATAAATTGCTGTACTCTATCATGAGGATTGAAATATAAAGTATTCTCATCACTCCACTGAGGATTCTTTAAAAAATATTGATGTTCAAGAAAGCAAAAATTTTAGTTTCACAATGCAAAAGGGAAAACAAAACAAAACAAAATGAAATATGAAAATCTATAAGGCATTTGTTTTCCAGACTGTACAGGTTGAAACATGCCCACTCTGATACAGAAACTGTTCTGCTCTGTCCCTTAGCACTGTGTGTTTGTGTGTGAGTGGCCACTAGAGAGTATTTTTAAATATGTGTATCATTCACTCTCTGCGAGCTTCTCCTTAACAAAAGCTTAGTTCAACTTTCCACTGCTGGTGCCTAATACAGTGCTTGCTCCATTTAGGAGAAATGGTGGCTTGCTCTTAGAGCACAGATATTTTGAAAACAGTTGACATGTTCATCGCTATCTTTAAAAAAATGTTGATACCAGTTATATGATACCAGTTACACCAAAATAATATTAAAGAATAACTATTTTGCTCTAGCAAACATATACTACATCTGAACCTTCATGGAAATAATAAATAAATAAATGAATAAATATTTTCCTTGTGGAAAAAAAATCTCTATTTTCTTCTGAATTAACTCAAACAAAATGTGGAGGAATTACGGAACGAGTAGATTTAAAAATCCTGCTCCCTACGGCTTGACCTGTGGAATTTAAGATTTTAAAAACCATTGAATATAATAATTTAAATTCAAACCACAAATTTCTTATATGAGGACCGAGAGTGAGTGTGTGTGTATATGGGTGGGGGGTGGGGGTCAATTTCTAAATGTATACAAACCATAAGCTAGTGATTTAAAATAGTAGAATATCAGTGGAGGCAAGTTAAATCTTTACTAAGTGTTTCTGTCATGGAAACATTTTCAGTAATTGCTTAGAAACAAATTAAGAAGGGAAGGTTACTTTTTAATGGGATGATGCAACCTATACATTGGACTGATATTACTATGTGAAGGTAAAATTCAATAAGTGAGTCTAGCATTCAAATGATATTACTGCATGCATTTTGAATTTATGAGAGGAGACTATGATTCATACAGTAATTCTATAGGGATAAATGCAATCATTAAATAGAGTGCAATTACAGATATTTCTGCTATAAAGAAATATATTCCCAGGGCAATCTGCAAAATCACCTACTAAAAACTATAGGGCTTATGCAAAAGCATTAGTGTAGACCTACTCAGTATTTATGAATTAAGAACACTATCAAAACAATAACCAAACAAGAGTGAATATAAAGGATCATTAAAAAGACAACTTACCTTCATTATAGAGAAGTACTGCATAGAAAATGATGCAGTGTGACTGTGAGTGTGAAGATAATTTCATGGAAGAAAGAATCAAGATTGCTAAGCCAAGAAATGAGTGCAGATCACAGAAAGACTCAAAATTGTGTAACAGCACTGTAACATTAAACTCAGGGACAGACCATGCCAAGCAGAAGATTGCAAGGTGAATGGATAATTACAGAAGTGAGATTTTTCCCTTAGCTATGTTGATCTGTGTTAGGCTGTGTCTTTAGTTGTTTGTACTTAGTGAATTACAGTATTAAATCTACTATCAGTGTTATAGTGACCTCACTGTCCCACTTACCAATCGCATATAAGCCTATTTATGTCATAGCAAAGTGTTTTACCCTGACAGATTCCTTCTCATTTTAGGGAAGCATATACATTTACACAAAAATGTAAAGAAAACAGATCTTCAAGAAGCTGTTTTAAAGGATTTTTTGAGGGAGAGTTACAAATCTTTCTCATATAAAAATGTCTTACAACTACATCTTTCCACACACATATTTTTATCACTCTAGGCAGATATTTTTCATCTGTTCAGGAGGAATTCTGCTGTTGCATTTGAAATGAGTTTCTATAAATCAAACTGTACACAACGCATGGATGTATTTGTCAAAAAACTAGTATTCTTTTAGAGGATTTGAAACAGCATAACGGATACTCAGAAGCAAATAACACCTTCTAGTTTTATATATCACAAATACTATGAACACACCACATTTCAGGTATCTTAAATATAAACCTAATTTAAATATTTTACCAATAAAAGTAGAATGATAAGTCAAATCTTTGGTTTGTTTGTTTACTGAATTTGATGAATTTGCATCTGGTACTACCTGCTGCGGTAGGTGACTGTGTCAATTTGAGTAAGCTATGCCTAGCTCCATAGGGTCAGTATAGTTCTGACAATGGAAGCCCCACTCTATGGAGGATTGCTGCTTCACCTTGGACATTGCCTCCTGGTTTCCGGCAGACTCTTCAGCCCACTGGCACAGACAGTTTCGCTGCCTGATATGGACTTTCATGGGGCACTACAGCGGGCTCCAAGCCTTCAAATGGACCCTTTCAATCTCCAGTACGCAGACAGCACTGCTGTGCTCTTTCATGTCTGGCTTTGTGGGCAGTCATTGCATAAGCCAATTTTGTAAGTTCCTATATATTTATACATCTACCTTTAAAACCTACCAGTTGTCAACATAAACTTCTGTAGGGCAAAACTGTCAGAACATCATCAAGTTTGAATAAACTCATTAATGAGTTTCTTAATAGTTTGCTATTTGCGACCATTTTTGTCCTATGACATGCTCTTCAGCTTGCAGGGTAGTTTTTTTCTTAATGGTACTCATATTTATTCTGGTCTCAGGGATTCAGAGGAAAGATGAAATGGGACTATTTAGCTTGATACTAGTAGAGACTGTGATTTTTAAAATTATTGGCAATGTCTTCATACAGCATCATTAGAATGTGCCTCTTGTTTGAACCATAAGAATTAGTGCAACTAAAAGATGAAACAAGTAGGTTTTCCAAGGGCCAAAAGAGACAAAACTGATGATCAAATTATTCACATAAGTCTGATAAGAACTCAGATCCTGAGAGATCTTCAAATATTTTTGATGTGAACTACTAGAGGGCACCACTCCCTTAGTGTTGGAATGAAACATGCTAAAAGACATTTCTATAAGGTAAACGCAATTTTTTACTACTTATCAATGGTTTTATTATGCTTACTTAAAAATTATCTAGAGAAACATTCCAGTCTTCTATGTAGTTTACAACTTTTTTTCGTTTCTTGATGAAAAGACCTCTGGTCACATGTCAAGGGTATCTTAAGTGGCCAATAGTACCCTTGACAACAGAAGTTCTCTCTGCCTGAATTAGAGTCCTTTCTCGATACACAGAGTAGAGAATTTCTTAGTGAAATGTGGTGTTAGTGCCATTTGGATATGACATGGGTATGATGTCTCCCTATGCTACTAACGAGAAAAGGATAATAACGTATGCCTATTCTATCAGAGTTGGTCTTTAGAACCATCACTGGGAATACTGCCAGTTGATGGAGACTATTAAAGTTAGCCCTTTTGAGAGTTCAGAGTTTCACATTACTTTAACCTTTATCTATTATCTTTAAACACTAACTCATAATTCCCTCAAAAGAAACCAGAGTAAAGGCATTAATTCTAATCATTGCACCACAAGGAGGCACTCCTGCTATCAGATTGAAAGACCCAAATTTCTCCTGGTTGGCTAGTGAGGCTACAATGGGTAATCTTTGTCTCTAGGTCCCTCATTTCAGAATGGCTGAGTCAAAAATCTGGCTTCCCTGTTCATGAACAATATATCCAAGGTAGACGCTTAATAAGCCTCTGAAATAGGTAATTTCTTCCTTCTGAAGTCAGCATGATGCATCGCTAGTCATGTTCCTAATACCCGTTCCCTACTTACTTTGGTTTAGTTCACTGGAAAAAATAAATACCATATAGTATGTAACCTTTTAGGATTTTTTTTCACTGACCATAGTGCTCTTGAGATATATCCAAAGGTTGTATAGATTAGTAGTTCCTCCTTATTGCTGAGTAACACATTGCAGTGTGGATAAGAAATATCTCTTTATTGTAGAGCATTGCAGGCTCTACAATAACTGCCAAATACTTTTGAGCACAAATATCGTTTCAAGATTGCTCAGTGCTTTGTCTGCCAACAAAAAGGATCAAGCAGAGACTTTTTCTTTTTAATGAAAGTTCTGAAAAGCCAAAAATTAATTATGTAAACAAGAAAGGACCTTTTAATTCAAGAAAAACATTTAAAGCCTTTTTAGAACATTATTTTCTATACAATAATCAACATGATGATTACAAATCATTCCTATATAATGCTTTAGGTACGGATTCAGTTTTTAATGGCTGGTAAGTCTCCTTATTTATATAACATAATAAGTATGTGTTTTTAAAAACCTGTGATCATACTAACCTGATATCAGTCCAAATTAGTGACATTTCATTGCATTTGGTACAGTGTCCTAAATGCTCATACAAATCTCTGTCTTTGGTTCGACAAAAAGTGTGTATCATTGCAGTGTCATATTTGATATGAATAACTTGTTATGTGACAGAAGTGTGTGATGATCGAACAGAAAATAGTTACCAGAATGGAACAGTGGGAATTCCAAAAACCCAAGGGCTAAGAAATGATAGCTCTTGTTAATTATCTCTTATTAGACAGTAAGTCCCTTTAACGTGGCAATGTGTTTCATCCCTTGCACATGGCCTACTGTTTAAAACAATGTAGATATTTAGTCAATATTCATTGAATTATGTGTGTTGCAGGACAGAAGTCAAAGTTTCAGTTTAAAACAGGAAGCTTCTTATGATGCTTCGTATGAATACTGCATCCTTTTCTTCCTTGCAAGCACGGTTGTAAATGGCTTCTTTCATAAGACAATCTGGCCTATGCACAGAACACTCTGGCCTCTCT